GAGATCAGCTGGCGCGAGGCGGCCGAAGCACAGTTACGCTGATTGGCGAGAGATCGCCTCTGATCGGCTCGGCTGCCTAGCGCTTGGCGAGCCCTCGCCTCTCATTGGTCAATGTTTTTCGCTAATAACTCGTAAACAAAGCCGCGGGTTGCATTTTCGCAAAGGAAAAAGTTGCATTGGTTGACCTCAGGAATCTCTAATTTCTCGCTTGTACAATAAGCGCTGTATAATAATAAATATAATAATAAATAATAATAAATATAATAATAAATAATAATAAATATTATAATAAACAATAATAAATATAATAATAAATAATAATAAATATAATAATAAATAATAATAAATATTATAATAAACAATAATAAATATAATAATAAATAATAATAAATATAATAATAAATAATAATAAATATTATAATAAACAATAATAAATATAATAATAAATAATAATAAATATAATAATAAATAATAAACGCTCTACACAGAATAGTGTGGCGCGAGGCGGTCCAGCCAATGAGCGCTCGAAGCCCAGTTCCGCTGATTAGCTGAGCCATCTCGCGTCAGTCGAGCTTGCCTCTTATTGGTCAGTGTTTTTTTTTTGTTAATAACTCGTAAACAAAGCCATGGATTACATTTTCAGTCAGGAAAAATTTACTTCAAATGACCTGAGGAATCCCCCATTTCCGGATTGCAAGACATTTTTGAGACACCCTGTATATCTCTATCAAGAGCGATGTTAAAAAATGTTCTTGCATGGAATTTTTCTGACATCCAGAGACGAATATGATGCTAAGAGGTAGTTTTTATTTCACGAGTATTTTTTCCGGACTTTTCAAGGTCGTTCATGTTGATTTCCACGTAAGTGCATATTTTTTAAATTTATGCTAATAATATTAAAAGTTCGTCACCGATTATACGGGATCGATGCGAACGTTGTCAGGCTGCATTCACAATGTTCACGTTATCTGACTGACCAACGTTCTGACGAATGCATCAGAACAATTACGTAAATGCATTTGTTTGACTAGACTCCGGATATTTATGTAAATGTATGCTTTTCTGGGAAACTGACAACGCAACGGGCACAAGAGAGAATTTTCTTGTGACTGGGAAGTTCCAAAAATATATCGTCTATTTTGCTGTATATTGTTGCATGTCAAAAATGTAAAATTAGCTCTGTATATCAGTAAACTTCTGAGCCATAACGATTGCTCTGATTCAAGGATATTAACGGTAACAAATGCAATTGTAAAATATGTATTATCAATTATATTGTTATATGATTATTATTGTATCGTCAATTATATTATTCTATGATTATTATTGTATTATCAATTATATTATTCCATGATTATTATTGTATCGTCAATTGTATTATTATATGATTATTATTGCATTATCAATCATATTATTCTATGATTATTATTGTATTATCAATTATATTATTCTATGATTATTATTGTATCGTCAATTGTATTATTCTATGATTGTTATTGCATTATCAATTATATTATTATATGATTATTATTGTATCTCGTCAATTATATTATTCTATGATTATTATTGCATTATCAATTATATTATTATATGATTATTATTGTGTCGTCAATTATATTATTCTATGAATATTATTGTATCGTCAATTGTATTATTCTATGATTATTATTGCATTATCAATCATATTATTCTATGATTATTATTGTATTATTAGTTATATTATTCTATGATTATTATTGTATCGTCAATTGTATTATTCTATGATTATTATTGCATTATCAATCATATTATTCTATGATTATTATTGTATTATTAGTTATATTATTCTATGATTATTATTGTATCGTCAATTGTATTATTCTATGATTATTATTGCATTATCAATCATATTATTCTATGATTATTATTGTATTATCAATTACGGAAGATATATTTGGCGGCAGTTCGAAGGTCGTGGAGATGGGAAAGGAAAGGAGTGGGGCTGTCTCTTATACACATCTAGATGTGTATAAGAGACAGATTTAAATGTTTCGAGCAACGAACGGGGGAGTAGTATAAACTTGTCTCTTATACACATCTAGATGTGTATAAGAGACAGATTTAAATGTTTCGAGCAACGAACGGGGGAGTAGTATAAACTTGTCTCTTATACACATCTAGATGTGTATAAGAGACAGATTTAAATGTTTCGAGCAACGAACGGGGGAGTAGTATAAACTTGTCTCTTATACACATCTAGATGTGTATAAGAGACAGATTTAAATGTTTCGAGCAACGAACGGGGGAGTAGTATAAACTTGTCTCTTATACACATCTAGATGTGTATAAGAGACAGATTTAAATGTTTCGAGCAACGAACGGGGGAGTAGTATAAACTTGTCTCTTATACACATCTAGATGTGTATAAGAGACAGATTTAAATGTTTCGAGCAACGAACGGGGGAGTAGTATAAACTTGTCTCTTATACACATCTAGATGTGTATAAGAGACAGATTTAAATGTTTCGAGCAACGAACGGGGGAGTAGTATAAACTTGTCTCTTATACACATCTAGATGTGTATAAGAGACAGATTTAAATGTTTCGAGCAACGAACGGGGGAGTAGTATAAACTTGTCTCTTATACACATCTAGATGTGTATAAGAGACAGATTTAAATGTTTCGAGCAACGAACGGGGGAGTAGTATAAACTTGTCTCTTATACACATCTAGATGTGTATAAGAGACAGATTTAAATGTTTCGAGCAACGAACGGGGGAGTAGTATAAACTTGTCTCTTATACACATCTAGATGTGTATAAGAGACAGATTTAAATGTTTCGAGCAACGAACGGGGGAGTAGTATAAACTTGTCTCTTATACACATCTAGATGTGTATAAGAGACAGATTTAAATGTTTCGAGCAACGAACGGGGGAGTAGTATAAACTTGTCTCTTATACACATCTAGATGTGTATAAGAGACAGATTTAAATGTTTCGAGCAACGAACGGGGGAGTAGTATAAACTTGTCTCTTATACACATCTAGATGTGTATAAGAGACAGATTGTATCGTCAATTATATTATTCGATGATTATTATTGTATTATCAATTACGGAAGATATATTTGGCGGCAGTTCGAAGGTCGTGGAGATGGGAAAGGAAAGGAGTGGGGAGACGTTTCGTCCGGGGCCCGCTAGAGGACTCATCGGTAAGGCTATCCTAGCGGGCCCTTGCCTTAGACGTAAGGGTAGGACGAAGTCTCGGAGTATATATAGGGATCGGAACGGATCGGCTACTAGCGGGAAGAGGAGCCCTCTGCTGGCGGGTCTGGAGGTAGCCGCCACATATATATCAAAAAATATATTTTTTTATTCTTACTGCAACTATTGTTTGCAACTAATAGCTGCGCTATTCTTGGATGCAACAGCATGCATTTCGATGTTCAGTACGATTTAATATTTATGAAAGTGCTTCCTTGAACATTTTAGAGGCCGATACTATTTAACATTATTAAACTTACAATCGCAGTATAAAAGCTTATGATTTACTGCGTGCTTGTACACAAATGTCATTCTCGCAAGCGTCAAACATATTTGTCAGAAAACGCATCCATTGCAACTGGAGCCTTAGGCTACGCACGATAGCAACGCAACGACAGCCATCAGGCGAATTCGAATTAGTTTACGTGCTTTGAACAATGTATAATTTAATTAAGCAGATGTCACGATGAATTACGGGAAACATTGTTGAAATGTATCAGATATTTAAATTCGACTGCTTCTATACTAACAGAAATATACCAAAAAAAGCTTGCTGCTTCATTCTCGTATACTCGAAAAAGTTCGCTTGTTGATGAAACTGAACGGAAAATTGACACGAAATTTTCTTTCCTGATCAGAAACCTCTCGACACAAGATTCGTCTTAAATAAATAAATGTAGGCACGCGGTAAATATGAATTTGCTATTTCTTCTAAGATGTTATTGCAATCGAAAAAGTTCCAAACGTTGCAACTGCGAAGAAAATGGCACGTCGAATGGTTAGTAAAATATTCTAAGTGATTTTCGTCGACGTCCGACGAACGCAATCTGACGACCAATGTCGACGGTACCATTGTATCCACAACCTTAGACCTTTTTCACACGATAGCGCAATGTATGCGACCGAAATGTGTCGTGATACTTGCATTAAGAGATGTCAGTTTGGCATTATTATTAGATGATTTTCCCAATAGCAGCTATATATATATATATAATAGCAGCCAATATTTATTTTGTTATTAACGTAAGGCATTGCTCTTCAAAATGCAATCAAAGGGAACACTGAACTCCACCGAGAACTCATAATTATAAAATGAAATAAATCAATAATAATAAATAATTCAATAAAAAAATTCAACATATTTAATTGGACATATAACTCAAAAAATGTGAGAGATAGAAACGTGTCCTGTGACATAATTTAAGTTCATACTAAGTACATTAAAGTCTGTGCAAATTATTTATTTCCAAAGAACAAAATAATTATAAACGATGATATAAATTTCGGATGATTTGGAGACTACTTTGAAGCCATATAGCCGTATCCAAAATGAACAAACGATAAAAAAGATCATAGTAAATAATAAGCAACATGTTTAATTGACTACTAGCGAATAAATTATATATTACAGGGATATTTTTTAAAACTGACTTTTCTCTACTTTTTGTACGGAAACCGACCACTGTGCGTCGCACATCTCGCTACCCATGATCGCTACTTTCGTCTCTGAATGCCTCAGACACGCGGAGAAACGTAAAAATTAATTGTCGAATCGAGAAGCAGATAATTCCGTCACACGCGTATAGATGACGCGGCAGTCGAAGCGTTAAGCACATTACGATGCAACGTTCAATTGTTCAATAATGCACAACAATTACAGATTCGGCGAAACGTCGTCTAATTTTGTCGAACTTAAGCTCGATCTCTGCGATCTTTCGTCAAGCATTCTCTGCACAGTTTCCTACTTTTACCTACGCGTGCACCGAACGCCAGTTGGCGGACGAACTCTTACGCGGCCGACCGTACGCTTTTCGTCGGCTCGTGTGTTTCACCTGTCGCTACCGGCGCCACCGGAAATCCTCCACGCGTGTCGCGTCGCTAGGGACGCGGTGCTGGATGTCGTCGTCGATGCCTTCGTCGACGAGTATCTGCCGCCGACCCTGCGGAATTGGTCCCGTTCCGGGTGTTCCGCGACGAAACGCGCCTGCTTCCTCAGCAACGGCACCGTCAGAACGTACGTGGCCACCATCACGATCATGGGGATGTAGAAAGCGATCAGCGAGCCGAACACAAAGAACGTTCGATTGTTTATCACGCACGTGCTCGGCCGTGGCATGATGTTCACGGAATTGATTATACCTGGACAATCAAAATGAAAGCAATTTGAATGCCGTCCGTAGCAGGAAGGCGACAGAGGTTAGGATTATCGCGCGAAGAGTTGTTTACGGATCGCTTACGTAAGCTTCGCTGGAATTATCTGACTAAGGATTATCTGAGGACACTTACGCTTTGTAATTATTTCACGTGCCGCCGACGCGCAAATTGTCACCTATTGTTTTCCGATCGCTGGTAACGGGTGAAACTATTGTTCGCGTCTTTCGCGTGCGGTAATTCTGACTGTTAAATTCTTTCGGAGAAGCGAACGGTGTTTCGAAACCGAAGGTCCCTATTTCACGTGTTCCTAAATACATGCGTAGTTAAAATATCCGTGTAATTAACCTATGTACCTCATAATACACGAGTGCACGTGTAATTAATGCATCCGTGTTTTAGTTCGTTCGGAAAGTATGACAATAAGGGTTTTTTTTAATTTTACGGAGACGCATAACAAAAATTAATGTTATTCTTTGTTGAGACAAGAAAGTGCAAATAGATGAAATAAATCGCGAAAGAAAAGATCGCGAGTTATTTGGAAACAGTTTTATTTAATTAACCTCTTATTCTGATAGAAAAATAATAGTATTAAGGTAATAATAAAGGTAATAATAAAAATAATAGTAATTAAGGAGGGGGCATTCTGCTTAAAATCAAATGTACTAGTAATTATCCGAATAAAATTTTGAAAAAATGTATTTCTGTAGTATTTTTTTTACACAGAATCGAATTATGTAAAATTGAATTTTCCAACTTTCCGCTTATGTTTGCATAGTATCGAGTACAGGTCAAAGTCCGCAGATCCGATAAAGTATTTCCATATCTAACACGCATCGTGTCAATATATAGGGTGTTTCATTTGTCCTGCACATTCAAATATCTTCGTCAATTCTGTTTATATTAAAAAAAGTGTTGTAACAAATTTGATTGGTTCAAAGGTAGGAATATTATGATTGATGGATTTTTTTCTTTCAAAATTATTTTTTTCGTGTTCTGATGATCATCGTCATTTCTTGCGTATGTTTACGCTTTATTGTTTATGATACAGGATTGCAGTGCATACCAAGACAAATTTAATGGCTTACGACACTATATTTTTTCAAAATATTATTTGGATAATTAATACTATTTGATTTTAATTACACGTGTACCCACCGTGTACCAATGTATGTATTAAAAAAGTGTACACGCGTATATACAATATCCGTTCAAAACCGAGATATATCATTGAAACTGTCTTATATCATTTGAAAATGTTAATAATACTAATAAGGTTTCATGGTTCATAATGCTTTGTGTATTATTACGTTTTTTAATATCTTCGGTGTATTTACAGATAGCGATGGCAATTCGAATATAAGCTTTTGAAACGACGACTCGAAAAGTATAGGAGCTTCTATATAAATTGCTTGAAAATTTTTTAGTATCGTAGAAGATAAAGAATTTAAGCACTTAATTATTTAGAAGGCTCTAAGAACAAATTATTAATTATTTAATAATAATTATTTAGAAGACTCTAAGAAAAAATTAGTCAGAGACACTTTCAATGTAAAAATGTTTTCGAGGTCTCAAACTGTAATCCTTTTTTTATTTAGCACCTAGAATCTTGCCTGAGGTTCTTATTGCTTTAATATTTTACGTCAACGATGCTGGTCGATGTAGGTCGAAAGTAATCACTAGAGTTGTAAGACGATCAAGACTTTCAAGACTTTCAAGACTTTAACCGTGCGATGCTGTTCATCTTCGTCCTGTGATTTTTCTTTACCATAATCTTCCAGAAAGATTTTTAAATATTTACAAGAAAGATTATCAAACAGAAGGAAAATCAATTTTGAGAAGTTTCAATATGTTTATTTATTCATTCAAGCTCAAACGTAGATCTTCATTTTATTATTAATTTGAATTTACGAAAAACGACTTTATTGACCACGTGGGTCACTGTCAATTAGTAATTCTCAATTTTCTCGTTTACAGAAGATAACGAAGATGTTTCCGTATGCGACGCAAATGATTCTTGCTGCTGCAGACGCGATCGCTTATGCCACGAGCGGCAAGATTCATAGGAACGTCGTCTACATACGAGTACGTATACGACACCAGCAACTCGGTTGTGCAATTTCGTCAAAATTCGACTTTTTGTTATCAGGAATAGAGAACGCCGGCGGAGGTTTTGGATCGTGCGACAAGGAGAGACGATCGATCGACCAACTCTCGTTATGCGTTCCTGCCACGTGACGTCACGTACCAGGCGTGGATAAACCGAGGAGTTACGCGGAACAAGGATGAGTTCACCGTGCGACAAAGATGAAAGCAGTTGGAGTACCAACTTCTATTCATGTAATTCTATTACTGTGGGACTCATTTTACTAGGAGCGGAGGAGCACAGTGGAGCAAATTCTAGGGGAAGTAAAGGTGTGCAGTAAAGTCTCCCTAATTGACGCTCAGATTGTCCACAAAAATGGATAATTTTGGAAGAAGAGAATAATAATAATAGTAATTATAAGTAGTAATTATAATAATAATAGTAATTATAAGTAGTAATAATAATAATAATAATAATAATAATAATAATAATAATAATCGTATCTCCTCTTCCCAAATTGTCCATTTTTGTGCACAATTTGGGCGTCAATTAGGGAGACTTTACTGTATAATGTAATCGGGAGAAGAAAAACAGCAATGTGTGCAAAAAAATCTCCGTGCAAGATCCAAACGCGAGTGATTGGATTCATCCAATCAATTCAACCGCTTACGTTATTGCAGATATCTCATATTGTTAATCTTACAAGCTTTGTGATTCTGTCTAATTGATTTTATATTCTTTTGCAATTTATTTTATTTCGTTTGCTAAAAAAGAAAATTAATAAAATAAAAAATGAACAATTTTATATTAGAGAAAATTGTTAGAAATGATTTGCTACAAATGCATGTTGCATCGTATAGTCGTAGATTTGGTGTTCTTGTTATATGTTATTAAAGACTGAATATATTTTTTAATAAAAAGGGTTTCACAAGCGTATTAATAATTCCATTGCTGATTATAAAATTTAAGTTAGCGCCAATTTAAAAGCACCCACAATAATTTGATATTCCACGTAGGCTTCGGAAATTAATTCAAGTTGAACTTTGATATAATTTCATATGCGATTGTGCAGTTTTTGCATACTTTCATAGACACTATTTTAAAATTGGCTGGTCGTCTGCGCCTATTATCGCGGTTACGATTATTACAGATAAGAATCGATCGCCTATCAAATCTCATTGATATCGCGTTCGCATCTGAAACTCATCTTGGACGATTAGTTAGACTTACTATACTTGCAATAACAGTAATTTCTCCCTAACTCGCGCTCAGATTGCGCACGAAAATGGACAATTCGGGGGAGAGGAGATACGATTAATCGAGGCTCGCGGCTCGTTTTTACAGCTGTTCGCAATCGGTAACTACGAAAACGAGCCGCGAGGCTTCAATAATCGTATCTCCTCTCCCCCGAATTGTCTATTTTTGTTCGCAATCTGAGCGCGAATTTGGAGGAGAGGAGATACGATTAATCGAGCCACGCGGCTCGCTTTTACAGCTGTTCGCAATCAGTGACTATGAAAACGAGCCGCGAGGCTCGATTAACCGTGTCTCCTCTCCCCCAAATTGTCCATTTTTGTGCGCGATTCGAGCGCGAATTAGAGATAAGTTACTGTTATTGCCCAGCAAGCCTAACTAATCGTCCAAAATGAGTCTCAGATGCGAACGCGATATCAATGAGATTTGATAGGCGATCGATCCGTATCCATAACAATAATCGTATCTCCACTTGGCAAATTTGCCAAATCCATTTTTGTACGCGATTCGAGCGCGAATTAGAGATAAATTACTGTTATTGCCCAGCAAGCCTAACTAATCGTCCAAGATGAGTCTCAGATGCGAACGCGATATCAATGAGATTTGATAGGCGATCGATCCGTATCCATAACAATAATCGTATCTCCACTTGGCAAATTTGCCAAATCCATTTTTGTACGCGATTCGAGCGCGAATTAGAGAGAATTTACTGCAGTTTCGTGCGCTGGGACTGGCAGAGAGATCGGCAGACGATTAGCCGGGGGTTTCTAGAGGACGCGCGGGAGTATAATTCGCCGCGGGATTCGAACGGGGGAAGATTAGGGCACAAGAGTTTACCTAACACTGTAATGGAACTAGAAACCAACATGGCGAGAAGCCAGACCGCCGCGATCTTGAATCCGACCATCCGTTTGGTGGCGGTGTGCCTCGTCCTGAGCGGGTTCCGGATGCCCAGATAACGGCCCAGCGAGATGAAGCACATGTGCATTATGCTCGCGGAGCACGCGAGTACGTCGCACGTCACGTACACGTTGCACCATATCATGCCGAACGGCCAGTATCCTGCAACAGAAAACGGTGATCCTGCTGAGAGAACCGGGCACCATGCTCGTAAATCCAGCTTCCCGTCCGTCAGCTTTCGTCCCGCGGGACGAGGACCGCGGCGTCGGATATCGAGGGGACCCTCTGGAGGACTTTCTGGATAGGATCTCGAAACGCCGGGAACTCGAATAAAATTCGAGAGTCCTCGTGGATCGATGCGATTCGAGGAATATCGGCCCAGTTGGACGAAGGGAACCGGTCGGAATCATCGTCGGGGCTCGTTCGGGCCAAGGAGGATCAAGGATCGGTATACGTGTAGGAGGATCGATTATGTTCGAAACGAGACGGCGCAGAGTTTTCTCCGATCTCCGATGAATTTAACGGGCTGCGCGTAGGCTAATTCTGCAGTAGCTATCGTCCCGAGTTTTATTTTACGATTGTTAGCCAGCTGCAAGCGTTCGCCTTCGTTGTAAGAAAATTCGATCGTTTTGTAGAGGAGATCGCGATCAAGAGTGATAATTTGATTTTGGGCTAGGATTAGTGTAAAAATGATCAGCGCTCGTAGTCAAAATTTGTAGGTGAAAATGCTGAAGCGTGTTTAAAATCTGTGGGACATCGAGATCAATTTGATTTTGGACTAAGATTAGTGCAAAAATGATCAGCGTTCGTAATCGAAAATTTGTAGATAAATATGCTAAAGCGTGTTTAAAAACGCTGTCATAGTAATTATGTTTTATGAAAAGTAATTTCTATGTTCTGCATAAATAATGCGGACCGGAAAACGTGGCAACGTAAGCGACAATAATGCAGCGTACTTTTTTTTTTTAATCGAAACAGTGCATTCGAAAGAAGTGCATACGCAATTTTTATCCGATTAGAAATTATTCGACTTCGAAATTATAACAGACGCGTTAATAAATAATTTACGTTTACATTTTACCGATTTACATTATTACGCATTAATAATTAATTTATAACTGAATTCATTTCTACGACAAAGAGTTTTTCCGAATAAAGAGTTCACAGGGAATATGGCAACGTCGCAGTGGCTCCCGTTAATATTCGACACCTCCTGCGAGGGAAGAGCTTTTTTAAAATTGGACNATGAGTCTCAGATGCGAACGCGATATCAATGAGATTTGATAGGCGATCGATCCGTATCCATAACAATAATCGTATCTCCACTTGGCAAATTTGCCAAATCCATTTTTGTACGCGATTCGAGCGCGAATTAGAGATAAATTACTGTTATTGCCCAGCAAGCCTAACTAATCGTCCAAGATGAGTCTCAGATGCGAACGCGATATCAATGAGATTTGATAGGCGATCGATCCGTATCCATAACAATAATCGTATCTCCACTTGGCAAATTTGCCAAATCCATTTTTGTGCGCGATCCGAGCGCGATTCGGCGAGAATTTACTGCAGTTTCGTGCGCTGGGACTGGCAGAGAGATCGGCAGACGATTAGCCGGGGGTTTCTAGAGGACGCGCGGGAGTATAATTCGCCGCGGGATTCGAACGGGGGAAGATTAGGGCACAAGAGTTTACCTAACACTGTAATGGAACTAGAAACCAACATGGCGAGAAGCCAGACCGCCGCGATCTTGAATCCGACCATCCGTTTGGTGGCGGTGTGCCTCGTCCTGAGCGGGTTCCGGATGCCCAGATAACGGCCCAGCGAGATGAAGCACATGTGCATTATGCTCGCGGAGCACGCGAGTACGTCGCACGTCACGTACACGTTGCACCATATCATGCCGAACGGCCAGTATCCTGCAACAGAAAACGGTGATCCTGCTGAGAGAACCGGGCACCATGCTCGTAAATCCAGCTTCCCGTCCGTCAGCTTTCGTCCCGCGGGACGAGGACCGCGGCGTCGGATATCGAGGGGACCCTCTGGAGGACTTTCTGGATAGGATCTCGAAACGCCGGGAACTCGAATAAAATTCGAGAGTCCTCGTGGATCGATGCGATTCGAGGAATATCGGCCCAGTTGGACGAAGGGAACCGGTCGGAATCATCGTCGGGGCTCGTTCGGGCCAAGGAGGATCAAGGATCGGTATACGTGTAGGAGGATCGATTATGTTCGAAACGAGACGGCGCAGAGTTTTCTCCGATCTCCGATGAATTTAACGGGCTGCGCGTAGGCTAATTCTGCAGTAGCTATCGTCCCGAGTTTTATTTTACGATTGTTAGCCAGCTGCAAGCGTTCGCCTTCGTTGTAAGAAAATTCGATCGTTTTGTAGAGGAGATCGCGATCAAGAGTGATAATTTGATTTTGGGCTAGGATTAGTGTAAAAATGATCAGCGCTCGTAGTCAAAATTTGTAGGTGAAAATGCTGAAGCGTGTTTAAAATCTGTGGGACATCGAGATCAATTTGATTTTGGACTAAGATTAGTGCAAAAATGATCAGCGTTCGTAATCGAAAATTTGTAGATAAATATGCTAAAGCGTGTTTAAAAACGCTGTCATAGTAATTATGTTTTATGAAAAGTAATTTCTATGTTCTGCATAAATAATGCGGACCGGAAAACGTGGCAACGTAAGCGACAATAATGCAGCGTACTTTTTTTTTTTAATCGAAACAGTGCATTCGAAAGAAGTGCATACGCAATTTTTATCCGATTAGAAATTATTCGACTTCGAAATTATAACAGACGCGTTAATAAATAATTTACGTTTACATTTTACCGATTTACATTATTACGCATTAATAATTAATTTATAACTGAATTCATTTCTACGACAAAGAGTTTTTCCGAATAAAGAGTTCACAGGGAATATGGCAACGTCGCAGTGGCTCCCGTTAATATTCGACACCTCCTGCGAGGGAAGAGCTTTTTTAAAATTGGACTGAAACAGTTTTTGGAAAAATTGGTAACAGGGTAGAAGAAATTCTGAAAATGTTGCAATTGATTGAAATTTCGGCACAGGACTCCGGTAAAGAAACGAATAAATACATCTTCGAAATCGTTTATTTATGAAGTTTATTTTTGAACGCAAAATCGCGAAGAAGGATCAAAATGTGCTTGAATTTAGAATAGAATAGTTCTCTGGTCATTTTTCAATCGGCTGTAGATAATTTTGCAGCGATAAAATAGAGCAATTCGGATTTATTGACAATCGGTAACTATATAAAAACGAACTTCTGTTCTATTGGACGCTCAACAAAATATTGAACATTCAAGATTTATTTATTTTCGATTTAAATTTAAATTCGATTAATTCATTTTTCCCTAATTGACGCTCAGCTTGGAAACAAAAATGGACAATTTGGGAAGAGGAGGTACGATTAATTAATTTATATGATTATTATATTATATTATTATTATATTTTATTATATTATTATATTATTATATATATATATATAAATATATATTTTTATAATAAAATTATTAATTAATAATTTATATATAATATATATAAATATAAATATATTATAATATAATATATATAATAATAAATAATATAATATAAATATAATAATAATATAATATGTATAATATAATATAATAATCATATAATAATATTAATTTATATGAATATATTATTTCTATGAAGGCTCGAACAATCGTATCTCCTTTTCCCAAATTGTCCATTTTTGTGCGCAATCTGAGCGCCAATTACGGAGAATTTACTGTATTCACAAGAGATAACTGGCATTACTGTGGTTGACAGCCGACAGATCCTTGTTACTGAATCGCTGGCTTCGATTTCGGTTACGTGTAAAGTATCCCGTATAAAGGTTCGTCTAGTCGACAGCCACTCCCGATCAGAGTATCCAGCTCGTTGCATCTTCCACCGTTCCACTTTTATACGGTAAGTCGAGTTCGGTCTTGATCGACGAATACAAGGGCGAGATTCTCCTTGGATCGAGTGGCCGGCGAACAAGAGCGGAACAACCTGAGAAAATGGCGGAACAGTCTGTCGCGGCTGTGTATTAAGGGGAGAGTCTCGGGTAGACCGTTAATACAAGGATTACTTTCGGCAACTTTTTTACGACACGAAACATCGACGAAACTTTTCGTCGCTTTCCATACGTATTCTTCGACATTTCAACGTTATGTTGTATAAATTAGGTCGTACGTCCATGACCTCCGCGAGCTTCCCGATCGACGGGATTATTAATCGGTGTACAGTTTTTCGTAACAGAGCTACGCGTCGCACGAACCGAAATCTTATTTAAAACTTGTAAAAAAAAGAGAACGACAATACGCGGCTCTGCTATGAAAACGGTCGAGTGATTTTTGCGTAAAATTTGTATTTCGATTACGCGATAAACATCAAATGCATGATGAATATTATGAATCGAATAGGTTCGTACGACGCGTAGTTCTGTTACGAAAGGAAACATCGTTTTATATTTTCTTCTAGATCGAAGGAAAAAAATGCTCGACCGAAAGAACAAGATTCATTATTTCAATCATGTATATTCAATGTCGATGAAATGTAATAATAATTTGTAATAATAATATATGATGTAATAATGTAATGTAGTTATAATAATGTATAATGTAATAATGTAATTTAATTATAATAATGTAAATGTAATAATGTAATGTAATTATAATAATGTATAATGTAATAATGTAATGTAATTGTAATAATGTACAATGTAATAATGTAATGTAATTGTAATAATGTACAATGTAATAATGTAATGTAATTGTAATATAATGTGAAATTTGTAATAATGTAATGTACAATGTAATAATGTAATGTAATTGTAATATCACGTACAATTTGTAATAATGTAATAATGTAATGTAATTGTAATATAATGTAAACTTTGTAATAATGTAATGTAATTGTAATATAATGTAAACTTTGTAATAATGTAATGTAATTGTAATATAATGTAAACTTTGTAATAATGTAATGTAATTATAATATAATGTAAAACTTGTAATACTTGTAATAATAATTTACGTATCTCGAAATGTCAAAGGGATGCGTGCGTGGAAAGCGCGCGGCGAAAAGTATTCATCGACGCTGTTACCAAAAAAATTGCCGAAATCTATCGTTATTTCAACGGTTTACTCGCGGGACTCTCCCCTCCTTGGCGTTTCCCACGGGAACGATTCAGCATCTCGGGCACGTAAATTGCGGAGCAAATGATTGAATTACACGGGAATGCGGAATCCCGTGCGTAACTCTGAAAGGAATCGAGTTTACAATTGTGCTCCGAGTGGAGCCACGTTTAAATGGAACGAACGGCTTTGACGAGAATTAATTTCTTCCCGGCTGGTTCTAATCATATTCCATCGAGTCGCTTTCAATGTTTGGGACACGAAGCATGCCGGTAGTCCGAACCAACCGGAAGCGTTTAATTGGAAGACCTGCGGAATCTTTTCCGACGCGATTTGAGACGCTGCTCGCTGCGATAACGGCAGCGTAAGCCGTCATAGAGCTTCTTACATCATCGCAGGCTCTATTGTTGGCCGGATATCCGGAATAACTGGTCACGATCGAGGAATAATTCTCCGTCTCTCCGTCTACCGCTATTGAGCTCCAAATTTTCCGCCATTCACGGGCCGGCTGTGTTCGATGTGCTTGTACACAATTTCCTCGTTATCGAGGAGAACCGTTCCTGGATTTCAACTAATTGTTACTATTGCGAATAAAAAGGGGCTATGTATTCAAGTCTATACCGCAATTTCGAACATTTTCTTCTGAGATTTTTGGAGAAGAAATGGAACGCATATTTGTATCGCATTGCTTCGCGTATTTTTCGCCTATATTTAAAGATTACACGGAATTATAGTTTAACGGATAGTTTAACTATAGTTAAAAGGATCCTTTGGATCCTTTCCTCTTGTGTGGAAAGCGCGTCCACGGTTGCCACGATTCTGATCTGAATCGAACGATATCACTGTACATGGTATCCCAAAAATGTCTCGTAATCCAGAAATGGGGGTGCCTTAGGTCATTTGAAGTAACTTTTTCCTTAGCGAAAATGCAATCCGCGGCTTCGTTTACGAGTTATTAACGAAAAACACTGACCAATGAGAGATCGCGTACGGCTGGACGCACCACCACCCTCGCGACCACTGCCGCTGCGTCAAATGACTAGCGCGACGCGGCATTGGCCGCAAGGGCGGAGCGCCGGCGGCGCTCGCCTCTTATTGGTCACTGTTTTTCGTTAATAACTCGTAAACAAAGCCGCGGATTGCATTTCAGCTAAGGAAAGAGTTACTTCAAATGACCTCAGGAACCCTAAATTTCCGAATTACGAGACATTTTTGGAACTTGAATATTTGGAGTCAGGAGTTTCCGCAAATATTGAACATTAGAAATTTGGCAATGCATTAATGTTCGATTTGCTTTTGAAAATAGTACAGAAAAATCTATAATCGAGCTTTAGAAAGATCTATTTATTATATAATAACTAGACTTTTTTCCTCTGACAATCATATTGTTGTTTCTTTCACATACTTTCATGTATACGGCCTATAAAGGCAAGTTAAAAACGCTTTTAAAAAATTATAAAGAATCTTGCAGTTTTTTTTTAGACGCACTTAGAGTAGTTCCAGTCTTTTAATGCTATAATATAACAGCTGTGCAATTATTGTTTATCAAGCTGCATTCGTGCAATTTCAAAGATGTTTTCACATTCGAAACAAGAGCACAAGACAAATCTTATTAATATACGTATTCACATTTTCTTCAACAATAACAATATATTATAACCAGAAATTAGAAATTATTATAACTAGAATTATAAATTGATGTAAACCTGTTGCTCACTAATGTAAACATGAATGTAATATA